TAAAAAGACATGTATTTTTTAATTTTGCATAAGAACTGCATATGGACCGCATACAAACTGCATAACAAATGCATAGACATTTTACTGAAACCTTCCACCAAACATACTACCTAGTGACATAAAATGGATGCAAAAACTCACAAGATCTCACATGTAAATCTCAAGTATGCTGTTTCTCAAATAAAGCGCATTCTCAAGTATGAGGTTTCTCAAGTAAAGCTCAAGTATGAGGTTTCTCAAGTAAAGCTCAAGTATGAGGTTCTCAAGTAAAGCTCAAGTATGAGGTTTCTCAAGTAAAGCTCAAGGCCTTCTCAAGTATGAGGTGTCTCAAGTACAGCTCAAGCCTTCTCAAGTATGAGGTTTCTCAAGTATGAGGTTTCTCAACTACATGCCTTCTCAATTGAGGTTCAACAATAAAGCTTCTCAAACCTCAAGGCACACACTGCATAAGCACATTTTCATCCACCATTGTGTCTTACCAGTGCTGCTTCTGCATCTTCATCACCTCCTCCATGAGGTGCATATGGTCGTCCAATCTCCTGCAGGGCACAATGTTTTGCAATTCTATGGTATTGGAACAAGAACTTCATGAGCATAGAACAAAAGCCTCAGTTGTAACATAGTTGAACTCTTGTGCATAAACACCACAAAAAATCATTGATTAACACTTTCAGTCCTTCCCCATTTCTTGACCTCTTTGTCCATGCGCTGCTTCTTCTCCTTCTCGGCCTGCACATCTGAAGGACTCAGATCGCGCTTCTTGGACTCCCTGACCATGGCCTCCTCAGTCTCCTGATCACTGTCCTCCTCATTGCCATCAGGTGTCGCATCAGACACCTCAAGCTCAGCCACACCATGACACTGCTCCTTCTCTTCAGTCTCTTCCTCCTTCTCCTGCTTCACTTTGGAAAGCTTCTTTGATTTCCATGTTGGAAATGGAATCGAAGCTACCTCAGCTTCTTCTCAAATACTTCTCAAATCTTTTTAGCTTGTTATCAAATGCTCAAGTAAAACTCAAAAGCAATATCTCCTGATCAGAATAGGATGTCATGAGAATGTTATCAAAAGCTCAAATAACTCAAAAACAATGTCTACTGATCAGAATAAAATCTTGTTAGAATATCATTAGGCTCATGTACTTGTGACCTCTAATAAGCCAAGTTTCATCAGGCGCTGTAGGTGGTGGAGCTTTGCTCTCTGCAGGGGCTTCCAAGTTTGGTTCTGCTTCTGGAGGTGGAGGAGGTGGCATCTGTGCAGAGCTCACTCTCCAAGGCCGCTCATCTGAGGATGGACTTGGCAATGGTGCAGATGCCCTGGTAGGAATCAACTTGGGTGGTCCAGATGACTTTGCACAAGCTGCAGGCACCTGTGCACTTGATGAAGGGCCAACTCGACCTTGAGGAACTTGATGAGCAAGAGGAATGTGACCTGCAAGGTATGGAAAAGCTTCTAGGCCAGGAGCCTCAGGAGGGCGATGAGCATTGCAACCCTGAAACAACAGAGGAATCGGTGGAAAAGCTTCTGGTGCAGGAGCTTCTTGGGCAGGAGGGCGATGAGGTGCAGGAGCTTCTTGGGCAGGAGGGCGATGAGGTGGTGCTTTCGCAAGTTGGACCGCCAATGGCCTGTCCTGAGCTGTGATACCTGGCTCGATCACCCCATTGAGCTTGGATATGCAGTAGTGGCACTGGTCCAAAGAGGCAAAGTGCAAAATAGCGCTGCAATGAGGTGCTGACCAGGCCAACTTGTCCTCAAGTTTAGGCCGCACAAGCTGGATTTCCAAACAGTCGTATATATGAAGATCTTCCAGTTTGCTTCGAAATGCCTCACAATGAAAGAACTGCCAATTGACTACAACAAAAGCTGCCATTATACAAAAAAATGCACTATCACAAGTATGCTCAACACAAGTCAAAGTACTCGCTTGGTAACATTCATGGCTACATTTCTGCAGTATACCCCATACTTCGCCATGATGAGAGGCAGGGTAGACCAAATTCAAGATGCCTTAGAGGGGTTCATGAAGCACAAGAAAAGTAGTGACCTATGGCGGCTCATCTCACCACCACCATCCTTGTCACA